CTTTATCCTTTCCAATCCTGTCGCCTTGGCTCCAGTTCACATCAACAGGTTATGAGCACCAGTTGTGCTTAAACGTTCCAAAATCACATTCAATTCCCTTCTTGCCTGCACACTAGCTCAGTAGTATTCTGCCTCATCCGCGCTAATGCTACATGCAAAATGCACCTGCTATGCTGCAATGATGAACTGGTTAGCAGAAATTTGGCCCTGTAGCGCTGATAGTGGCCTGTAGTGCAGTTTAGTCTCACAAAAATCAGCTCACAATGCACTAACAATACAGGATCTCCACACAAAAAAGTGCCGCTATGCCAATTCTGTTGGATTAGTCAATCCCGTATTGTAGTACCCGTATGCTTGTACCCAGTTATGCTTATATCAAGCCTCCCATTGCTACTTATTCACCGTATCTCTACTCAATATGCTTTCCTCACTTAATAATAATACTTATATTCTCACCGTCAAGTTCACTCGTGAGTCTTGACCTCACTCAGTGTTTCAGTCCCTGGTGCCCCTCAACCAATTCTTTATGGGTAAAAATTGTAGTGTATCAGAGCGGGCCATTGTTGAAACTATCCACAGTGGATATTGGAATTCAGTTTTCCAATTTCTCTGTAGAGCATTCCAAATGAATTCAGGAATCTGGAAGTTCAATATGCCTCATGAGACCCTAGCTGTATACTCTGTCTAATCTCCTATCCTGGTGTGTGTTTTTCTTTCTTGGTGGCATGTGGGCAAGGGGTGGCAATGTTTGAGCAGTAAATTAGGTAGCTGGTCAGGAGAATTCATTTACTACATTACTACTATGAAGATTTATCTCAGTAATAAGATCTGGTCGACTGGAACTAGAAACACCCGTGCAGAATATCCAGGCCACGTGATGAAGTCGGAATTTTGTAACAATAACTAGCCGAATCGGTTCCAGTTTTAAGCAAGAATAGCAGGGAGAATCCAAATAAATGCAAGAAATTCATTACTAGAGCAATGAACAAGCGGCTTAAGGTTGTCACCAAGATACAATAAAATATCAATTTTGATTAGAATAGGAGTATGTTTTGCACTTGAAGATGATCCTTGCAGCAAACAGATTCAAAGATACAAAAGTTTGGTGGCACCTACGCCGTCACAATCTGCCAGGGCAATTGAGAAGCCTGTCTGGATGATCAGAAAGTTCAAATGGAAATCGGTAGTAGGTTGTTAGCTGGGATTTATTGAAGTAAAAAACGCATTTCAAGATGTTTGAGAGTACTCACAATCCCCTTGCAACAAAGTGCAACATGGTCGGTGATGCAGGTAAAAAGTGGACATTGCCATCCCCATTCATCCCGCTGATCAAGGGGAAAGTAACCTTCTGAGAGGATAGTACAGACAAGTCAACTTCTGTGGGGAGCTTCAGATAAAATATCATGCAAACGTGCTTGACTCACTCGCAGTAGGTATCCTTATGCAGTAAGGAACATTATATGTATCAGCCAGTTTACACTCGAAAACAACATTGCCAGGTGAAAGTTGTGAGCGGTCAACACTTGGCTTTTTGGGACCGGCGCCCATGACTCCGCTGCTGACTAATAGCAGAAGTTTGGTGCTTAAGAGTATAGAAAAGCCTAATTTCATGATTGGAGCTTGAGTATTTGTATCTGATTGAGCGAAGTTGGTCGGCTGGCTGTGAAATGAAGAGGAAGGAAGACTTTGTAAAGCTGATGTGGGGATATTTGTTAGAAGGGGAGTAATTAGTTACTCAATAGTCTGATTGTTCGTGATATCTATCTGTGGTAACTGTGGACTCAGAGAACATGATGTGATCAGGCTTCATATCGGAAAAAGTCACTGTGATCTTTTCTAATTGATCTGATTTCGTTGGACTGATGGCGCGCCTCAAAAACATAAACCGATCTTTGCCAAGTCCGGTCTTTAATTTGGCTTCCATTCCCCATACGGGCCTTCTGGACGCTGCTTATGCCTGGTGGTTCTATCGACCTACTCCTCTCTTTGAAAACTTTTTTGCGACGGGTTTATCCGATTGTGTGTGAAAACAGTGGCCATCAGCCTTGTAGCACCACAGATTACCCAGGCCACCTGTTCGTTCCTCCCTGATGTCCCACAGACAAAGGCTTGCCTAGCCAATTGTTCTATTTTTTTCTCTTTCCTTTTTTCATTAACCTATTTTACTGAGAGTTAAATGGGGCTACATAGAGAACTTGTGGCAGAACTCGCGGCAGCACTCGCCCTATGCCTTTCAGTGACCGTAGCTGGGGACGACGTGCCAATGTGTTTATGCTGGGAGAAGGTAGAAGTCACTTTGGCTGCGAGAAAAGGGCGTGACACATTAATGGTAGGATGGCGCGTATTTAAAGGATTGCTGTGTAGGCCCATCTTGTACTTTGGGGAAACTCGCGTCCATGTGCTACAAATGGATGGATGGCTCTTGGCTGCTTTGACCAGGCAACAAGGCCACGCCAACCCGAATGACTGCACGGCCCCAGATCTGAAAGTCTGGCAGACCTATGGACCTACATGCCATACACTGTAGAAGTGCAGTAAGAAATACATGTGAATGCACTCCTACAGTGCAAAAGCGGTAAATCCCAATCCCGCAATCCCCCTCCAGTCAAACCAATCAAAGCTTGACTTCAAAAATAAATAAAAAAACCACCCTTCTCAATCACCCCAATAGGCATTAGGCCTTAGGGTTAGGGATTAGGAATAGGGTTAGGGATTAGGGATAGGGTTAGGGATTAGGGATAGGGTTAGGGGTTAGGGATTAGGGATAGGGTTAGGGATAGGGGTTAGGGATAGGGGTTAGGGATAGGGAATAGGGATTGGGGATAGGGATTGGGGATCTGTTACCGAGCAAGGGTCCTACATATTTTTTGAGGGGGGGAGGATGGCGGGATGGCGGGATTGCGGGATCGGGATTGGGAGCGGGATTGTATCCCAAACCACCTTTTTTGCACTACAGGAGTGCATTCGGATGTAATTCTTACTGCACTTCTGTAGTACAAAACAGGTAGGTCTAAAGGTCGTCTGGCGCACCTACAGTGGGGGACACCATATTACTTTAACAACCCCCCAGCAAAATGCAAGTTGACCACGCAGGCTGAATGTTCGTCCACTATAGGAGTCCAAAAGTTCCAAAAGTGTCTTTTTGGGACTCTTTGGAGGTTGTAGATTCTAAATCTCATTCAGTTTTGCAATTGGACCAGCCATTCTCTTTTTCCCTTTTTTTGAAATCATACTCATACCTTCCCCTAAGCCCATATGTACACCCTAAGCGCATAGTTATGGGCTTCCATCAAGGCTTTATTGCATATAAATGCATGCAAATAGACATATAAACACATAAAATGTGTTGTCTACAATTGTGTTGTGCTTCCTCTGGGCTCTTCAAGCCTTTTTTGTGACCATCATTTGAACTTTTGGGTTTGATTTGTTGAAATTTTGAGTGCAAAAGTTCAGAAAAACAAACTTTTACCAACTTGACCCATCAATTTTCTCAAAAATATCACCCCTCACCCTCCTTTCCCCCTACTCCCAAGGGGATTTTTCCAAATTTTTCCCACCCAACATTTGGGACACTGCAAAATCTGTTACAGTAATATGGTGTCCACCACTGTATGAATGCACCATTGGTGTGGTTCAACCATTTTGTTTTCATCAGTGTTTCCCACAATTAAGCAACCATGCACAGCTTGAGTAGAACTTGAAGAATGGCTTCCTCAAATGACTCCAAGAATTGATCATGGGAATTACACATACAAAGATGATTTGAATTGAAACGCCTGGCACCACACACACTAACAAAAAAATTATAGAAACTAGCATAACATAATAACCTTCCACCAAGGGAGAAGTTCCTTGCGATCCTAGCCTTAATTTAGACAAAATACCAAAAAAAGACTAGCTGGTTTTGAAGAAGGTCATAGTGGGGTGATAGGTTGAAGGATAAGAGAGATGGAGAGATGGATTTGATGATCAGGTTCTCTATTCATTTCAGTTGAATCATTGACTCATTTGAGAACCCACAAGAATGTGTTATAACACATGCTAGGATGCTGCTTCAGTTGAATTATATGGTCAGCTTAATGATGGCAGAGATAGTGAGAGATACACTGTTAAAAACTTATGAGAAGATAGTCTCACCTGGAAAAGACTATATATACTTGAAGTTAACAAATCACATCGTGCTCAAGAGGAAGAAAGCAGCTCCAATATTTCATAACGGATTACTATATGTTACGGGTACCCCCGGAGTCCTAAACACGGCATCAACTTGGCCTGCACTTTCAGCAGCAGCTATGTGTCCGCTTTCGAAGATCGGTGACTTGGAGAGAAACAAAGTCAGCCCGGCGCAATTTGGTCGCATCACGAGCTGGATAATTTTCCACCCCTTGCCAAAGGGTTGTACATACGTTGCTGAAGGGTGTCTCAAGCGCCGCGTGTTTCCCGGCAAAACGGGGCGAGGCAGCTCGGGGCCTTGGCCAACCATGTAGGCCGAACTTTGTGAGCCAAAGAACTCCAGAGAACCATCGCCCCAGAAGGATGTGTGTTTGGGTAAACTGGTCATGTCAGTGGGTGGATTTATTTGACCGTGATGGTATGTACCTCGACACGTATTCACTCGTGCAACGGCGACCGGCAACCGATTGCAGGATGAACTGACAAGCACAAAGATTTTTGTCTTCTAGTCTACGCCCTCAAATCAAGCTTTGTAAAGAGTATGAATCTTCCGAGATCTGATAAGAAGATTCGAGTCGTCCGAGCAGAAAATCAGTGGCCAGATGGCGGGAAGAATTTCCTGATTGCAGCGCTTGACGTTTCTTTCTTTGCAGCGTGATTGGATTTGTATGTGTACCGATGATGGATTATAATTTGTAATGATGAGGAAAGAATTGATTAACATTAGTCCATATCTCGGATCTCGGTCGCTACTCCTCAGAGCCCAACGAACAAATTGCTACCAGAATGGCCAAGGTAAAAAGGTGTCTTCGAATGAGCTTGACAACCATTCAGGTTCAATTGCCAGGTCAATGCAATCACTCCCTTCCCCCTGCAAGCTCTTTACTGGTTAAGGATCATTATTACTCCTCTCAATCATCTCCGGCTCAGGTGACCGGCGACTATTCTACCTCTCCTTTCATACTACTTCAGTACACTTGTGTCTCTCAATAATCTCCTAGTACTGCTGTCTACGTCCTTTGAATAGTCTTTTTTAAAAAAAATAGTAATAGTCAACTTCATCTCCAAGTAAACCAATGTATCTCTTCTTCCTGGCAATACCTCTCTCGATAGCATTGATTGGATTGATCTACTAGTAAGTGGATTTTATTTCGAACTTCTTCTGACGGAATTCTTCGCATGCTTGAGGAAACGTTTTAATTGAAAGGTACACTTGTAAAAAAAATTCTTCACAGCAATCGACAAAGGCAGCAAGAATTTGAAGAACCGCCGGTTGAAGGGTACTACGTTTATCCACCCCCGCTGCCCCATCAAAGCGCGCTTCATCCGAGCCATTACTGGATGGCACCCGGGGCCGTTGACCCTCTTGGATATCCCAATCATTGTCAAGCGTTTGCACCTCAACCAGCGCCTTACAAGGAGCCATCCCAATACCAAGACTCTCTGAATCGAAATCCACATGCCCCAGAGCGTCTCTCCAGCTTCCAAGATCCGCAGATCAGAAGCCCTCAAAAAATTGCTCAGCCTGGATTCTCCAATGCTTCGAATACCATCACTTCTGAAAAGATGCTCGTTCGAGATAACTCTTCTCTTCAACTCCCTACCCCAACACTTGATAACAAGAACACGATCTTATCACCTATTTTTCCAGAATACACCCGGGGAAAGGAGGCTGCTGGATATATCAATCAAGTCCCTTCAGAACAAAAACATGAACCTTACCTTTCGACATACCAAGAGGGCTTAATAAATCGGTTGTCTGACCCACCAAGCGTTGTGGAAGCGCACATCAAAGAATCATTTGGAGACACGGTTCGGGAAGTAAAGACATGCGACGATTCGTTAAGTTCCAACTTAGGAAGGGGGAGCGCGGGTGGAGCAGATTCTGTGGACAGTTTCCCGGTGAGTATGAGGATAGTGGAGCCGGTAGCAGGGACTGGAAACGCCTTCGGACGGGCGATCGTCGAGGAGATGGCCGTTCCGGACAGCCCCAAGATGGATGAGCGCGCGCCAGTCGAGCAAGGCGGCCTGGACGGACGAGATCATCAGCCCGAGGTACTCCCCCGATACACCTCCGTGGATGCCAAGGTCTTCGAACGCTACAAAAACCGACTCTCCCTCAAACAGGACGACAGTTATATCGGTAGACTCAGGGATAGCTATCACCCCCCTGAAACCGTCTCGCCTCCTCGAAAAGTCATCAGAGATGATAACTTCTTCATCAAACCATCTAGTCCGGCTCCTAATCCAGACACCAATACCACAAAGAAGTAACATCGTGTTTATATATATATGTTTTTTCTCCCCAGTTATCCAGTTTTCTCTATTACAAAATACCTCACAAGCATTATTCAACAAAACAATCTTAATTTATTTCATCTCTTCTTGTTTGATAAAACAGTAGCAGGGAGATGGGGGGGGCATGAAATGATTCAAGAAAGATGTCTAGTTGTCTGTGAATTTAGCATCTACATAATATATCATGCAGTATATAATCAAGTACATATTTTGCTATTTTGTCAATTGTAATAATAACTTCCAAAAATATGTATCTCCATTTTTACAACAGTCAAATAAAAAACTGGGTTGAATTTTCTATCTTGGTTGTAACTTGTGTTTCCTCTTTTCCTTTAACGCTGGCTGAAAAAAAAATCTCCAGTCATTTTATGCTCAGTAAATCAGAATGTGAAGAAATAATCTTATATGCAATTCAGTTAATGTTGACTAGTATGTGTGTTCAAATTTCAAAAGCCCACCTTAATTTGCTTAATTCAATGAAGACTTCTTGTCAAATCTGGAGCCCTTTCAGATGTTGATTTTGACTTGAAAAGTCTATTCTTTTTGCAGGGGAATCTAGCTTTTGACTCTCTAAATTGATTGTGGGGGCCTCCAGATCATGAGAGAAAGTGGATGAGTTCCCATCAGAATCTACAACCCTCCCAGAAGTCAACTTACACCCCTTAGATCTAATTTTTTTCATCAACAAAAAGATTTTCTCTCAAGCCTTAGCTCTCATGTGAGCTGGTTGAAATGTTAACTGTGTTGTTAATTTAGGACTGGGAGAGGTCTGAAAAGCCTTCTAAATTGCAACATGAAGTCCTCCAGTCCTCAATTTTTGTTGGGTGCAGATGCAAGAAAAGCTTACAAACATTCTTGTAGTTTCCATACAATATTCCAGATGCAACTTTGAAATATCACACTGGTTGATTGATTTCCAGATGCTTTGTTAACATTTGTTCTTCACTTTTGACCATTTTTCCTCAGTCCTCTTGAAAGATCTGAGAAAAATTGGTCTTCAATAAAAGTCACTTTCACATACAATCCCCCAACAGCATACCACTCACAAATCAAGTCCATTTGATTTCAAGTAATGGGTGGAGGAATTCACATCAAATTAACAGCCCTTGTAGATGTTGATTCAGGTTCCCAGCCCTAAGAAATTTTTTTCCAACAGCCTCAAACCCCAGGGCTATCCAATAGGACCCAGGCCTGGGCCCTATGGGATAAGGCACAACCTAAACCCATATTCATATGGGTTTAGGTTGCTGGTTGGCGTACAAGCCCACATTCCAATTACAATTAGTGTGCGGGTCTGCACGCCAATCTGCAGGGAAAAAACCCCTGCAGTGCTCTGGCGTGCGGACCTGGACACCAATTTCAATTTGTGTGCGGGCCCACACTCTCCTGAGAAGGGGAGTGTGAGAGTGTGTACGCAAAGGGGGGGAGTGTGTTTATCACTCCCCAAATGCCACATGTTATTGACTTAGCAGCTAAAGTTGGCATTGAGACCCTCTCAAAGGATACTCTTCAAGAAAATCCATGTGCTAGCCTTCATGACATCCTCATTGATTTACCTCCTCAAGTAAATATGATCACCCATCTCTTGGATTAGCAAGTTTACCACTTACTTGAAACAATCAACCAAAAAAGTGACTGAATTTGAGAACCTCAGCACTGTGTTAAATGGCAAGAAATTTGTCATGGTTCCTGATGTGTGCCACTTGAACCTACACAAGACCTTTGGAGTTGCACATGGAGGAGGCGGGCCGGGAAATCAGGACAATCTGATTGGCAAAACATCTCACAGACTTCTTTCCCAGTCATCCAATGATTGACAGGTGGATCAATAAGTATAACTGAGGATCCAACCTGTCTGCTCCATCCTCTCTATCTCTTGATCTTATATCAAATTGGTTGCCGGTCAAGGCCTTACTCTGAGCTCCAAAATGGTGCTCCTGATTGCAAATGATTTAGCTTATTTGCTTGAAAATCATTTCTATATTAAGTTCAACAATCAATCTGGGCTTTGTGCTCATGAATTCTTGTCAGTCTTGTACTTTCTCTCTTTCTTGAAGAAAACCATTTGAGCTAACATTGTTTTTTTTTTTTTTTTTTGATGATTTGTTGGAAATATGTTGGAGGATTGATTTCTCAGAATTTGAGAAGTATGGAATCAAAGGAAATGATGTAAAGGAAGACATGTTTCCAATTTTCAGATTCAAATTTGACTTTTACTCTCAAGCCGCAAGGACATAGTTTTCACAGTACTGCCAGGGTCCATGATAGTGTTTTTTTGCTTCTTGCATCCATTATTTTTTTCCCTTGCTCCCACATTGCTGATATAACATTTCTCAGCAAAAATTTCAACTTTCACACTAAATTTTAATTCCGCAGCAGTGCAGCAGTTGCTGTAAGAAATTGCTTCTTGCAAGAAGCTATCATCATGAACCCCCCTAGTTTTGCTGGACCTGCCTGTCCAAGGCACCATCTCATAGCGCAATGTTGTGGCATCAGAAACTGGCTGTCTTCAGGTGTGGGTTTGAATCCCGCTGTCATCAAATCTTTTTGTCTGTAGACCAATCAACTCCCAACAATATTGTTTGCAATCAGGGACAAAGGCTGTTTTTTTTTGTCCGTTGCAACAAGTGTACACATCAACTTAAGAGTTCATGTATTGGATATCAATCTCTCAAAGATACACATACACGAGTGTTTTTTATGCCGTTGATCAGTAGATCTCCAGCCCCCTTCAGATCCTTTGATATAACAACAACAAATAGAGAAAGAGAGAAAGGGGGGGGGGGGGGACTCTAATCATCACCAGTTGAAGAGGGAGGAAAGAGAAGAAAGGTGCCATTTGGAAGCACTTGAGCGATCTCAGCAACGGGGAAGAAGCAATCTTCCTGTTGGGAAGTGGGATCCCGAGAAGGAACGATCCGAGTGCCTATTGAAGGACCACGGACGACCAACTAGATTGAAAAATCCGGGAGAAAGCATGTGAGTATACACTGGTAGATGGTAATTGGGAAGAAAGAGAAAAGAAGAGGACGAAACTTTTCCTTTCCAAGCATCGTGATTGACTAAAGAAGGTTCAGCAACCCCGACAATCTTACATTCCACATTGGCTGCAGGAGGGCCACAGCCCATCATCGACTTTGTTGCTCGAGTGGTCGACTGAGGTACTTGGAAGTCGTATTGTTGGGAGACTAGGATCGGCCCTGTGGATATCGGATGGGCGTATATCCGTTGCATGCTTACTCCAAATCCTGCTCGGATTAAAGTGGCTGTAGATTGAGAAATTGGATCTTCATCATTCTCCCCAAAAACGTCAGTGCAATTTTCTCTTAGAAATATGATGTATTAAGTTGGGGGGATTACCTTTGGTGAGGATCGCTCGTAATTGGGGTCCCACCCATTCGCCAGTCTCAACTAATGGACTCCCCAAATTCCCGTTATAAACTTGCGATAATCGGCGGCCTATGGTGAATTTTTTGAGCAAACTGAGGTGGCTTAGTTGGATGATTTCTTCGGCTAAGATCTGTGCATTCATCGCTTTACTATGAAAATAAACATTTGAAATATATATATATATATATATATCAATTGATGAAATGAGAATTTGGGTGGGGGATTACTAATGAGGTTGATTGATGATGATGATGATGATGATGATTGGGAGGTTTGAAATAATTATGGTGACTTACATCATTAGGATCGTTGGTTTGTATTCCGATAAGAGTTTGAACCCGTTAAAGAAATAAACATCGGCGCCTATTCATTCCACAAATCATCAAATTTTTGTCCATTTGGTTCAGCAAATGTGTTTTAAAGAAAGGAAAAGATGAGGCAACCTGACCAGAATAAAGCCCAGCCAGAGCTACAGATATCTCAGACCCCCAAAGATCATCATCACCATCACTGTTATTAAATTCTAAGAAGATCCTGTCTTTTGAGGTCATTTTTCCAGTGACTGGGAATATTCCTAACAAGCCCGTGATCCCAGCTAGTATATTTTCGGGCGTATATTCGTATACTTCAACTCCTTCTCCTTCTTTCTTCGTTGAATCATTCTGAAGAAGAAGAAAAGATCACAGGAGTATTTTTTTTTTCAAAGAATGATGGTGTTTTTAGCACATATGTTTGGTTCGACATACAAGACAAAGAAAGTGAGACTCACGGAACAAGTAGAAGAAGACGAACGCTGCTGCTGATGGATGATCCTTAATCTAGCTTGAGAAACCAACGCAGGATCATGAGGCGCCGAATCCCCCCTTTGATCATCAGCCAAGAACCAAGCATTACAGTCCAACTCGGCGGTAGATAACACAAGACAATCTCCAGCAAGTTTCGGGCCCAACAATTCCTGGACAAGGTCCTTTGATGATAAGTCGGAGATCACTAAAGATAACGAGTCAAGATAGGGCTCTAGCGCGGCTTTGGAGTCGATCGAAATCGTCCCGGTGGGCTTGCTTGAGCCTACAATCGTCGTGATCGGTAAGGTTGCTGCTGATAACGTAAAAACTAGCTTGACTGTGGAGGTTTTTTTTAAACGTATTTTAATCAGTGTCTTTGGAGATGATAGTTGGAATCTTTTTCATGTCTGTGCAGGATTGAAACTTGGCGTACGATATGGATCCTCACACAGGATCAATATTTTTGGGTGTTCTTCATTCTTCTTCGATGGCAGTTGAGACCAAAGCTGGTTACGCACATTCGTGATCAACCTGTTCAAACGAACATCTTGTGGCTTCGTTTTTTCAAGATCAAGATTTACTCTTATGATTAGCATACTGACCGATATATAGATAACATCTTTTGGAAAAAAGAGAGATTTACGAGGATCGAATGGAGGTCGATTTGTTGCAGTTTTCCCTCGGCTTTAAGCAAGAGATCGTAGAGAGATTTAACCGAACGATCCGGGGTGACGGGCAACTGTTGACGAATCAGAAAAAAAAAAAAAAAAAATCCAGCTACATATGGATGACCAGTTGTATATGGTTGTTTGTTTATAAATGAGCATAAAGGACATACGGAATGAGGGGTTGCGCCCGAATTAGTGATGATTGGAGTTTCCGATTGTTTCCGAGTGGGCGAGAATCGGGCTTGATGGGCTAGGATGATCGGGTGAATGAGCCAGGATTGGTCTGGGTTGATGATCGATGGTATCAGATAACTTAGGATGAATAGGACGATGAGTGTCGATGTTAGTTGGTCGAATCCGATCAGGACAGCTTGGTCCTCCATCCTTTGTTAATATTCTTTTCTTTCTTTTCCTGATATCGAGGGTGGTTCTCTCTAGTCCACCAAAGTCATGACATCGTTGCTTGTTGACCAACCTTCAATTCAAGGTTTGCTGTGATGGTCAACAGAACCTTAAAATAACACAACACAGCAAGCAACAAACAGGAACAGACTGGAACCCATCAAATTCAATCCTCCAGTCTCATTATTCCCAATCTTACAATTGAGTACACACTTGAGCAGTGAGTCACTCTGTTCTCTTGCTAAGGCTTTACCGATCATGACTTGTTGTTTTTTGCTTCAGTTGATGAGAGCATTCCAATTCAAGGTGAGCCATCCCCCTTGGGGGGAATTGGGAAGATGGTTAAACTTAATTCCCATGACCATTGAGAGATGGTCCTCAGGACACCCCCCAAAAGTTGAGAGCTGTTTTCCCCACTGTTATTTCTCTGAGTCCCTAATTTAAATTTATGGGGTTGGTTAAGCAACTCCCAAGGATTCATCCACTACTCCCAACAGGTGTCCATTGATGGTCTTTGGGAGTTGTGAACAAATCCTTGGAAGTTCATTTAATTAACTCCTCAATTTTAATCATCAGTCTACATTTTCTTGTTCCCAACTGAAAGTTGTCCAGTTTCACCTAAATTTCCACATTCACAATGCTTTGTTATGATACAAACAAATGTGGCCTTAGAATGTTTGAACCTGAATCAACATCTACAAGGGCTGTTAATTTGATGTGAATTCCCCCACCCATTATATGAAATTAAATGGACTTGATTTGTGAGTGGTATGCTGTTGGGGGATTGATTGTATGTGAAAGTGACTTTTATTGAAGACCAATTTTTCTCAGATCTTTCAAGAGGACTGAGGAAAAATGGTCAAAAGTGAAGAACAAATGTTAAGAAAGCATCTGAAAATCAATCAACCAGTGTGATATTTCAAAGCTGCATCTGGAATATTGTATGGAAACTACAAGAATGTTTGCAAGTTTTTCTTGCAGTGTACATATCTGCACCCAACAAAAATTGAGGACTGGAGGACTTCATGTTGCAATTTAGAAGGCTTTTCAGATCTCTCTCAGTCCTAAATTAACAACACAATTAACATTTCAACCAGCTCACATGAGAGCTATTGCTAGAAGGCTTGAGAGAAAATCTTTTTGTTGATGAAAAAAAAATTAGATCTAAGGGTGTAAGTTGACTTCT